TCTCGGCTCCAAATGTACCCGCCTTTCGACCCAAATATCCAAATCCTGCCCTAAATTCCTTCAATCCCAACTCACTTTATTTGCTCGGAAAAATTTTCCGTATATATCTGCTCACCGAAAATTTTTCTCTACTGCCGTAATCACATCATAATTCCTCCCAAGATCCTAGGGTTCGCCGAGCACGCTTTGCTGTCCCCGCGCCCAGATTAGGGTTTTAGGCGCTGCCGTTGAATCGCGTGGTTTATCTATGGCCTCAGAGAAGGACACCAAGACTGAAGCTGCGAAGCAGGAGGAGGAGGAGGAGGAGGATCTGTCGGAGGTGGAAGAAGATGGCGGTGAAGTGAAATCGGACGAGGCTGGAGAAAAGGAGGAGGCGGAAGAACCAGAGGAAGATGAAAATGCTGAGGGAAAAAATGAGGTGAAAGAGGAAACGGAGGGGGAGGAAGAGGAGGGCGAGGGCAAAGGCGAGGATGGAGAAGACGAAGGCGACGAGGGGAAAACTGAGAAAAGTAAAAAGAAGGGTTCGAAGAGAAAGATGAAAGGCGACACTGTTGTGTTAAAATCGCCCCAGACGCCCGGGAGCGAGAGGCCCACGAGGGAGAGGAAAATGGTGGAGAGGTTTAAGGTATACGAGACCCCAAAGAGCTCTGCCAGTAAGCCCTTGTCCATTGAGAAGGTAAGTTGTGATGTTCAATTTTTGTTGGCACTATCATTGTATGAAATTGGAGTTGAGATCATATGTAGGGGAAATGGTAAAGGAAGTGCTTTTCCATTGTCTTTTTTTTTTTGAACAAACATGTATGTATGTTTTGATGGTCAAATGTAGATGGCTCGAATGGTCTTAGAATAGTTTCGATCATTGACTGGCCGGCATGGTTTGCTGGTCAGTGGCTTTTGTTCTTATTTTTGACTTTAGTGTATGATAAAAGGAAACCTTCTGATGTGTTTGGACTTTTGGGTTTGGGATAAAATGAGATGTTAATTATACATGTTGGAGGGGGAATGTGTGGATAGAGGATGGAAACAAAATTTAGAGGGAACTAGTGGAAATCACATTTATTTGCTTTGTTGTCTGAATAATTTATAGGTATATACATTTGCATAGATAAAGTATGCATGGCATTAGGTTAATCCCTTTAAATTGGTGCTTTTGTTTCAAATGAGAAAAAAAAAAGTTGTGCCTCAAATTATTTTATGTACATTGTTGATGAATGAAAGATGTCATTTTGTATTGAATGCTGTATTGTTCTTTTACATCCATTTCTCTGGGAGGAGTTGGAGTCCAGGTTTGTTGGGATTCTGACCATTAAGTTTATTGATTCTATAATAACAGGGTCAAGGCACACAGCTTAAGGATATCCCTAATGGTATGCTTTTTCCTTTTCACTGGCTTGTCACATTTGGTTTTCTGGAGTTTGCTTATGTTATAGTGACTGTGGTTTGATTAGTGGGTATGTTTGTTGAGATATGATTGTTTTACATCTGCATGTGGTAGATTTTGATAGGATCATATAAAAAGTCATGAGTTAATGCTCTTTGATACATTTTTACTGCATCATGTGCCATTCTATACTGTTGCATTTGTCAAAGTCCATGCTTTGTTTACAAGCTCGACAAAGTCCGCAATAGTAGCAGTTTGCCACTTATATAGATCCAGTAGAGACCATGAACTTGTATTTCTAGTGTGACCAGTAACCCTTTATGAGGGTGTTTTACTGTGATATCTTGGTTGTTCTCTTCACCTCTCATTTTATTAGGTACTCCGTACTTAGAGTCCCCTCCTCTCCAATCCCTCTATAACTAGTAACCAAAAAAAAAATAAATTCTATTTTTGATGTATATTAGAAGTATGTATGTGATTTCTGTCACAATACCTAAGTATTTTAGTAAAAGCAACATATCACAGGGGATTTCTGTTGTAGGGTAAATATATGCTTGTTGATAGTTGATATCTGGATACATGTGTACAAAAATATTTTGTCTTTTCAATCCTTGCCTTTTTCATTGCTTGTGCTGACATGTTGAGTCTGTATTGATAAAAAGTAAAGTAAATATGTCATATGGTTGGTAAAGTAACCCCATTGGCTGTGATCTTGTGATTTTGTTCAGTGGCTTTCAAGTTGTCCAAGAGAAAAGGTGATGAGAATCTCCAGCTTCTTCACACAATTCTTTATGGAAAGAAAGCAAAGGTCTTCTTTCTGCATTTATTTTAAAACATCATTTTATCCGTTGACTTTAAGCATTTTTTTTTGGGTCTTCTCATGTTCATATTTCTTTCAGGTGCGCATGCTGAAGAAAAATATTGGCCTCTTTTCTGGTTTTGTGTGGGCTGAGAATGAGGTAACTGCATTCTTTGTTGCTCATTTTTGAGGCTTTGTCACAGGTTTATGGTTATTATGAATCTTATTTTTTTTTTATTGATTCAAGATAATATATATATATATACAACACACACACACACATGGGAATATCCTAATTTTTGGTAATAAGTTTCTTTCAATTATCTTACTACAAAGGTATAAGTATTTTCATCTAGGTAACCACTTTTCACTGAAGTGGATTTCTACTTTATACTTCACAGTAACATTGACCTGCTCATTAATTTGTATACAACCCACTCTGATCCTATTAGATATCTGTATCCATTCTGGCTCCGACCAGATATCTATGTCTTTGCTACAACAACAACAACAAAACCTTTTAGTCCCAAACAAGTTGGGGTAGGCTAGAGATGAAACCTAAGAGAAACAATGGTAAGAGAAACACAAAAAAGGGCTCAAAACAAACAAAATAAAACAAAACAAAACAAAACTCAAAACAAAAACAAAACAAAAGGAAGAGATTGGAGCAAAAGAGAAAGTAGCAAAAGTCACGGTTCCGGCACGTTGATCGCTAGCCTCCAAGCGCTCCTATTCACCGCTAAATCCTTGGAGACATTCCAATTTTTAAGGTCTCTCTGAACCGACTCTTCCCAAGTGAGGAGGTTTTACGTTGGCTCGCCAAGCCAACGTGCTAGGTTTCATCTCCATAGAACGGCTAGGTTTTACGTTGGCTTGCCAAGCCTATCACAATCATCCTCCTTTACCAGGGCTAGGTGGAGTTTATATCTATGTCTTTGCTAAATGTCCTAAAAATGCCCTTATTTGATCTTTTGATATTCTAACAAAATACAGAAACAGAACCTTAATGGGGAGTGCTTGGTATTT